ATAAAATTGTCAAATCTCATCGTACTTGTCACTGTCTTCGATGAAGCGAGACATTGTAATATCATGACTTGTGAATCTCTAATTATTACGTATTTTTGTATTGTATAAATAACAAAAGGCATCCTATCGAAAAAAAATGAATATCTCTATTATGGTTCAAGCAAACGAGCTCACTTTTTTTTATCAATGATAGAGACATGTTCAAGCTTTATATCCATAAAAACATGCCTAGAGAGGTCCTTTGTTGAGTATCACTATTGATCTCAACGAAAAAATTTTACTTTTTTTTACAAGTGAAGAAGAAAACAACATATTTAACAAAGGGTCCCTCTAGACATATTTTTATATAATTATTATGGATGATCCTGTTAAAACGGTAGATTTTTAATTTTTTTTGTGAAACGTAGTCTAAAAAGAATGTTTAAGTATGGGAGTGGAAATTAGGACCTTCCTGAATGCATTTTTCACACTGTAGACATACCTGTCATTTTTGTTCTTCGAAATGGCTTTCTTCCGCTGACAAATGTTTGCATGTCATTAAAACAAGATCACGTTTAAGAAAATCGAGCATTTTTCTGCCAAAAAACATCTAGGGGATTCTTGTCCATAATTTTTTGAGAAAATTTTTCGGTTAGAAAATATCTTGTGACATACATCATTGTATATAGTTTGCGCTTTAATTTCGTAAATGCTCTGAAAATTTTTCTCGACCGGAAAAAATGGGAACTACTTATCAAAGTATGATTTCTTGAAAAACCTACAACTGAGTTTCGGGACGTTCGTCCTTATGGTGTTGATGGAGCTTAGATAGGCGAATACTTAGATCGATTTTGAGTGAATCTAGATCATCAATATGGACGACATGCTCATTTTACTAGGCTCAGCCATTCAAAAAATCACTAGACAAACATTTTCCCTTCGTCATAAATATTTATTAGTTCAAATTTAAAATTTCTTTTTACCCATCGATAGAGCGCATGTAGTCAGCTCCAAAAATATGCTATGTCTGTCTACTCATCGGCTAAGTCCTACCGAAAGGCTTATTTTTTTTAATTACACGCGTGTTTTCAAAACTAACTAGGGAACCTTCCAAGGTGCGGAAGCGCTTTTCAATCGGGGTTTCGTGCATCTTGTAGCCCGTAGTGAGTTATTCTTACGGTAAAAAAAGTTCAGGTTTCTGGCTTGTTTCTGAGGCGCTAGAGCATTTTTATTATCATAATTATAAGGATTATTTTATGGCTTGTATTTATTTGAGCAATAAAAAATATAGAATGAGCAATAATAAAAACATGATTTAGCAATAATTTTTGAGCAATAAAAAATGTTTATTTGAGCAATATTATAATATAAAATGAGCAATATTATGGTATTAAATAAGCAATATTTTGACATAAAATGAGCAATAAATAATTTATTATATAACAATATTAATTTCATATTTGAGCAACAAAAAAAGATAGAAGTGAATTATTTTTATTTATAATTTACAAGAAACAAAAAAGAAAAATGAAGTATATATAATTCGTCATTGTATCAATAAGGCTTTTTTTGCTTTCGATGGTCTGCCTCTTTTTCTTTTCGTACCGATTGTCACATTTTTTGCTTCAGGTGGAGGTTTGCAATATTTTAATCTAATTGATATACCAATCGTGTGCTTGCAAATAAATTTTTTCATAAATGATGGGCAGGTACATGTTGCTTTTTTCCATTTTTCAGGATTGTTAAATAAACATACGCACCATATATTGAAGTAAACAGACTTGTACGTGTCAAATGAATTAAACCTGCAATTTTCATATCGTTTGATTTCTTTATCTGTTATCCTAGTTTCTTCACCAGCAGGTAAATAATACATTGCTGTGTCACCATTACAAATCGATATAACAGCTTTGTTAAGCTTAACCCACTTGTATGCATCAGTCCATATTGGTAATGTAATTAATGGTTGATGTTCGAATTTTTTTGAATTGATAAGAGTGGGATTTCGTTCCTTTGACCATTTATTGACGATAGAAAATAAAACCACTGTAAATCTTGATAAAACTAATCGTTCCCTCAATGTATCTTCATCTTTAATTACAGGATTCGTGGCTTCTAATGCATTATTCGTGCTTGGAACATGCGTTGCTAAGCCTTCAAACCATCCATTTTTTGAATTTAACCATTCATTTGAAAAATATTGAATAAATTTTTCTTCATTCTTCCATTTTTTTAAAAATAATTTAGTAGCAATATCAAATACATTTTTATTTGTTGACAATTGTAATGTTTCAATATCATTTATAATGTCACCATGTAATGCTTTATCTTCGACTAAATATAAATTTTTTTCAACATATTTCCGCATATGAAACCAACACATTACAACATTATGATCAGTTCCGAATACTTTTAAAAATGCATCACTAACGGCTTCAGCACCATCTGCAATAAGTATTAATTCTTGTTCATTCATCTGTAAGTTTAAATTAAGTAATCCACCACGAAGACAATTAAATATAAATTCAAAATCATTTTGTTTTTCATTAGAACACACACCAAATCCAAATGGATGAAATTGTCTAATCATATCAGTGGTTCCAATAATAAAACAAGGAAATCCTTGCCAAATTAACTTGTAAGTAGTATCAACATGAATTTTATTCGAAATACTTGCATTAAATAATAGTCTTTTAGTAGTAACAAAAAATCGAAATTTATTTTTATTATCATCATCATTATGATCACCATTGTCATTATCATCGTCATTATCAATTTCATCTTCATATTCAATCTGATACTTTAATACCCAAGGTTTGTCATTATCATCAGGTATTAATGAATTTTGTTGACACCAAGCTTCAAGTTCACCTAAGCTAATAGTTGGAGCGCCATAATATTTTTTTCTTAATGATATTAAATAACTTGATAATTGTCGTTTTTTGGGAACAGGTAGACCTTCTTTCAATTGTTTCATTGTCAATGGAAGGTTGCGTTTCCATATCAATGTCATTATCAGAATCAGAAAAATAGTGCGCTATGAGTTGTGCTTGAGTCATGTATATAAGTTATATATAAATTGTATGAGGATGAGAAAACGGTTAGTGTTGTAAAAAACGAGTTATTATTGCCCTTTTATATACATTTTACGCTTCATTTTAATTAATTATTGCTCATTTCATGGAATTATTGCTCATTCCATCTAATTATTGCTCATTCAATATATATATTGCTTATTCAATATATATATTGCTCATTCTATATATATATTGCTCATTCTATATATTTATCGCTAAATTTGATTATTGCTCATTCTGTATTTTTTATTGCTCAATTAAATATAAGTCTTATTTTATCAGCAAAAAATAATATGCCAAATAATACATACGGAAATGAACCAAGATTTTTGTCACAAATAGTATTAGTCGTATAGGACACAATGTGAGAATTTGAGCTCAGACAACCTTGAGAAGATGCAATTATTAACTTTAGACAGTAATAATATCGTTCTATATGTCATTACATCTAGTATCTCCTAGAATTGTAAGATAATCGTAGTCTTTCACAATAGTATATTCATTTTCATTCCTATCTTATTGGCTTCAACGGTACCTATATGATAAATTACATATATAGTATTAGCGAATATCTTTGATGTATGAATTATATATATCATTGAATGGGAAGAAATAAACCAAAGTAATTTACTTGGACGAACTGAACTATAACCACGTGTATAGGAAAGAGAAGAACAAAATATATTGTATAGGTTATCTGATATTCGTTTTATTCGTTTCTGACAAAAATGATAAATGCATCGGTTGTATGTTCTCTTCTCACAGAGAAGTTTTCTCAATCTACAGGATCGAGAAAAATTAGTCTTCAATCTCCATCAGCACGTGAAGAAGAGGTTACCAATCATTTAGCTGAATTATTAAATACAATTATCAACTGTCATGAGTTTACTGTAGAAAGTGAAATTTCTCTTGATTACATTTCCGACGATTTAACCGAAGATGAAATTGATCAATATGCTGTATCAGAAGACTCTGAATTAGATCCTGATTTCAACGACACGGACAACGACGACAGTGATGGTCTTCTTCAAAAATTTTCTTTAGATTATATGAAAAAGGTTATTGAATATTATGATGAAAGAAATCCGTTGACAGGAAAACGCCGTCGGTCTTGGAAGGGTGTGAAGCGTCGATTTAAACGTATTACACATTCATCACATATATCTCGTTTTCGTGCTTATATTGAAAAGGGAGGAACGAGAACG